GAAAATAGAATTCAAACTGAAACACAAATGTGGGTGTAAGAAGTGGTGGAATCAAAAGAGACAACTACACAGATAGCCTGCTATGCAGAAAAGGAGCCAAAACTTCACCAATGAAAATACAATAAAATTAGAACAACAGAGCCATAATTTAGAAAAAAATACAAATACTGTATGGTTGTGTACGATTGTTTCAGATTCAGATATTATATTAAAGTTTACCTCTAATGTTATTGAAATAGGAACTCCATTAAAGTTAAGTTCTCTAAATGTGTAAGTACAGTTATTGCTATGTGCTAGGACACACACTTTTCCATTAATATCTTTTGTGCAGGTTATTGTTTATGACAGCATTTGGAAGTCTTCTCCATATATGTAATCAAATTACAGAGTATAAAGTTATTTCCCTAAATCTTAACTGCATTTGATATTTAATATTATTGCACACTATCTGGGGGCACGGCAGTGCCCCCGCCAAGTTGAGCAAAAAAGCGGCACGGCCATACCATCCTTTTCTCGAAGCAGTTCAGGCCATTTTCGTAACCCTATAACTTCGTTGTGAATAAAGCTAGAAGTCTGAATTTTTAGTAACCAAGTAGGCATTGTATATACTTAGTATATTTCAAATTTTATTAAATTTCAACCAGTAGTTTAAGAGTTATAACTAGTCAAAATTTCTTAATTTTGTCACTCACTGACTGACCGATCAGCAAAACTCTAAGGCACTTCTAGCAGACATAGAAGCTTGGAATACAATTATTGTTTAGTATATAAATCAAGGAAAAATATTTTGCAATTCCAGTCCAGTTTTGGAGATATACCAACTGCATAAATAATTTTGTAATCCCATATAAATATATAGGATTACAAAGTTACATTTGCAGTGAATGAATCAGTGTACCTATACATGTATAATATAATGGAATAATATGTGTAAATAGGTACTTAGATATAACTATCTACAAAAAGAAATGAGATGCCATCAAAAACATAATTACTAAACTAAACATTCTAATTTAATGTAATATGTATTACTTGAGAGATACATTGTGTTTTCATGCGTAGGCCAAGTTAATCTATTTAAAACATAAAAGATTTTTAATATTGATATGGTCACTATAAGATGTTGTTAGGTTAGCTAATTATGTAATAACTTAAGACAGTACCGCTGAGTACCGGAACAAACTTGTGTCTGAAGTCGAGTCTTTGCTGAACAAAGTCTCGGATTGGGGGCGACTAAATCTAGTCCAATTTAATCCTCAGAAGACACAAGTTTGCGCGTTTACCGCTAAAAAGAACCCCTTTGTCGTATCTCCTCAGTTTCAAGGCACTCCCCTTCTTGCCTCAGCCAGTATCAGTATCCTCGGAGTCAACATATCGAGTGACGTGCAGTTTCGTGGTCACTTGGAAGGGAAGGCCAAATTGGCCTCTAAAAAGCTTGGCGTGCTCAGCAGAGCGGGACAGTATTTCATGCCGGCACACCGCCTGCTACTTTACAAGGCGCAAGTTCGGCCTCACATGGAATACTGTTCCCATCTCTGGGCAGGGGCTCCCCAGTGCCAGCTCCTTCCACTTGACCGCATCCAACGAAGAGCGGCTCGAATTGTCGACGACCGAGCCCTTTCCGATCGGCTCGATTCATTGGCACTGCGAAGAGATGTTGCATCCCTTTGCATTTTCTTTCGCATCTACCATGGGGAGTGCTCTGAGGAATTGTTCGGATTAATCCCAGCCGCCAAATTTCACGAACGCACATCGCGGCAGAACTCCCGATACCATCCACACCATCTGGATGATTGGCGGTCCACCACTGTGCGATTTAGAAGATGTTTTCTTCCTCGCACGACCTCCTTGTGGAATCGATTACCATCAGCGATTTTTCCGGACCGATACGACTTAGGGACCTTCAAGAGCGTACTCCTTTTTAAAAGGCCGGCAACGCATCTGCGATTCCCCTAGTGTTGCAGTTGTTCATGGGCGGCGGTAGTCACTTACCATCAGGTGAGCCGCATGCTCGTTTGCCCCCTCTCCTATAAAAAAAAAAAAAAAAAAAGACAGAAGAACCCTTAAGTAGGGACTGAATAAATTAACCGACTTGGTATTACATGGATCTCACAACTTTTTACGGTAGAAGAACTGAGTTGCGAGACTTGGTTTTTTTACAAGTTATGTTTTTGATGGCATTATATTTTTCTATATCAGTCCCAAAACAGTCTCATCATCATTAAATAGTAGTAGTAGGGAAAATTTGTCATAATTGTTACACTTAGCAAGCAAAATACTTCTAATTACAATTTTGCTTAATACCCAATGTTTACACTTTTTTCTATTAATATTATAAACTTACCAAGTCAAACATTGTGAAGTCCAATAAACAACTCTCCAGAGATTAGGAAATACTGTATCTGGTACATAACTCCATGGCTTTTGGCAATGATTTGGTATATCTGTGCTCGAGTTATTACTTTGCACTACTGGAGCTAAATTAGTAGTATTATCTTGAAGGCATTGTCGATAAACAGTCTACAACAAAAGAGATAAAAGGGTATATAATATAAACCAAATTGATGTTGAACAATGAGACTTTTTAACTCACAGTACAGTAACTAGCTAATTCAGGAAATGTGAGGGTCACAGAGTATAATTAATAAAGCAATATTGTCTTAATCCTGGTGTCAACTACAGCAGAAATGCGTCGAATCGAAGCTAGCCGCATTTATTCCTAGTGCGTCCATCTCTGAGAAATCGAATCAAATTGTTCATTATTCTTCAACAAAATAGGTCGTATTTGCGTCATGGACAGCTCGGATGAAGAGATGTTTTTATTTCATCATGATAATGTGGATTTTCATGATTAAACAATTCTATATTGATAACAATTCGATATTGTTGGACCAGTGATATCAATAGTTCTTCATTCATTTTTATTTAAACATAAAGATTTTTTCGAAAACGAAATAGTAATTAAAATACGCTGGCATGCATCCACTTCGCCGCGTCGACTGAGGCGGGCCGAGTTGAATCGAATCGCACCGGCGAAGAAATTCGCCTGTCAAGCAATTCACGCAGTCGATTCAATTCGGCGCCCCGCGACTCGTCGCTAATGGACGCAGTTTCATAGTAAATATATAGGCGGCGACTTTCTGCGATTCGATTCGTCTTGGTTCGGCGAGCCTAGTGGACGCTTAGCCTTATACAGCTTAGCTGGCTAGTGTATTCTTCTAATAGTCAAGTAATGTTTAGTTCAGAAGTAGACTTTATTTTACTGTTGATATTGGTGTTATTAGCTAAGAGGGCAGGTGGTAGAAGAGAAGGGAACTTTTTCTTCCTCTTTCACATAGACAACTTCACTAGGTGGTACTCCATCTCTGATGAGTCAGAAGGAGAAAGAATGCCAGAAGGACAGTAGGTATCACCCACTTACGTATTTCTGCCACCAAGCAGCAGAGTTGCTACTTTGGTCTGATTTGAAGAGTATAGAGAGTCATTGCAATTACAGGCTGTGAGACATTCCATTTTAGTTCTTAGAGGTGACAATGCATCTGTACTGTTGATACTGGTGTTATTATTGTTACCATTACAGCCTACTACAAAGTCCATATAGGGGAGCTATTTGTCTTAGTTGCCATGCTTGGCGGGCGGGTTGGCTACTGCAGTTTTTTTTAAGCTGATATTTTTTTTATAGGATAGGGTGACAAACGAGTAAACAGTCCACCTGATGGTAAGTGGTTCTCGTTTACAAATCAAAATGCAGATGCGTTGTCACCCGTGAGGATTAAGATGGAATGCCGCTTTTCCAGTAAAAAGGCTCTCCGGTTCTCTACACACCATACAAAACACAGCAGTGTTAAGCTGCTATTTTACACTGGTATTCTGTGAGAGTGTGGTCCTTTCTTGGTTGAGCCGACCCATCCGTACTACAACTATACTACTAATATAGCGACAGCATAGTTCTACCACATATATTGGCAATTAAGAAGACACAGCTGCCATTTGGGGTAGTGAATATTCATGTATCACCATTACATGGTTACTAGGTAAATTGGTGTTATTACTAAATTGTTATATAAGATATTCCAAATTCATAGACCGTATTTCTCACATAACTTGTAAATTATTTCAAGATGTATCTATCACAAGTTTTAGAAATATTGTTATTTTCACTTTCTATCTATATATTACAGCCTGTAAGTCTTTGCTGAACACAGGTCTCCCCCATAGATTGCATCATAGGGTATTTCGCTATAGTTGCCATGCTTGGTAGGCAGGGTGGCAACCACAGTTTTTTATTTTATAGTTTCAGTTTGCCTCTGTTGCCTCGTACAACACCCATATGACGATATTTTCACTTAAATTCAGAAAATATTACAGTGTAACACCTTGATATAATGAGCCTCGATATAACAAATTCCTCGTTTTAACAATTACTTCAAAATCCCCTAGAACTAACCACCTAACCTCTGTATAAATATTTTCTAATTCCCTTCAGTTTCGTTATATTGAGGTTGCACTGTATTTCAGATTAGACTAACAAAAACAAACTTTGTCCACAATATAATATGGACTGTGCAGCTTCATTGTAGATATGCAGGCTTTCTCACAATATTTACCTTCATCGGTAAGCATGTGGTAAATCAGCACTTAAAATTACAATTAACAAGTAGTTGAGTATCAAACCCAGGAAGCTTGTATATTGTGAACTTTACAACTAGCGCTTAGCACTTGAGCTTACGCAATCCTTACTAATACTAAGTGCTGTAATTAAATACTTACAGAAGATACATCCAGGGGCAATATAAACATAATAACAAAGGAAAAGTACCATGCAGTAAGTACAGATACTGTAACAATTATGTGATTCCTATAGCAGTCTCCATATCTATACAGTAAAGTTGCAGCTAGAATAAACGCTGATATTATTTCTATCACAAACAGCGTGTAAGCCATTTTATGTTCGTGTATATTATACAATACAAACTCAATTAAACAATGGAGAAGATATATTAGCTTTGCTTTGCAGTTTTATTTTTCTCTTTCCAGACTCTTGCTGCTTCGTGTTGGAGATGTTCAAAACGTATTTGTGTTGCAGATTTCAGAGGTAATAAAATCGGTCGCTGTATTTCGTAGTCAGCAGGACATTCTTCATAGAAGAGAATACCAGAAGCAGGAATAATAGGATCAAATTCGATTGTATTGATTTCTTCAGACTTCTCTTCAGACATTTTAAGTATTACGTGTTTCGGACATCGTCAATGGTATTTATTTAACTGATCTGATGAAATTAACTGTTTTAGAAAATTACCTTATTAAAACTAAGCAAAAACAAATTACACTGTATGCAAAGATAAATTATTTAACTATTACGCTGTATTACCACATCTCCAATCTTCAAACACATAGATAAATAAATATGTAGTTCAAACAACAAATCAACAACTAGGTTTGAGCAAAAAATATCGATATATCGAAACTTTGTCATAAAAATATTAATATATATCATTGATATTTTTTAAATTACGATATATCGATATTTATTTTAGAGTATCGAATTCGTATCAATTTCAATATATATTTTAAAATGTTGTTTTAATGGACAAAACATGAAACAACAAAAAGGAGCTACAAAAGCATTAATGTATGGTTCTTTTGTTTTTTCGTTGTCCAACCGTCAGTAATTTAAAATTTTGGACCTTATCCTTACATCATGCAAACGATGACGATATATCGATATATCAATATTTATCACGTGACTTATATCGATACTGTTTAAAATATCGGCTCGATATATTTTTCCCTTGCCCATCCCTATCAACAAATCGAATATTAGAATTTAGAATACAGATTAAAAAGTTATGCCTATGCATGCACGATTCATGATATGATTTTTATTTTTTAATAGTTGTCTATTTAACACTAAAATTATATTGAAAACGAGGCAATATTAAACTACCTACGTAACGGTTATCTGTACAAATATTCTCTAAAAATCGATATTTAATATATAAAAAATTATAAGTTCATTTCACACACATAATTAATGCCATATAAATTATATTAAAATCAATTAAAACTAGCTATAGCTAGATTCGTAAACAAGTGACTTGATGTCAGTTGTCGGCCAACAACAACAACTGACATCATGACTACTTGTCGGTGTATTTTTTTTCCTTTGGAAATGGACACTTACCGTCGTACTTTTGCCAGTGTCAAGTAATAGGGAAATATAGTATACAATCGATACATTGAGTTATACGTACGTAGTACATTATAACTCAATGATATAATAATATTTTAAAAAAAAATTACGACACCTTAATCCAGCAGGAAATCGCTAAGCGGACAAAATAAGTTAAAGCTTATAATATCAACAATATCGCAGCACTTGTTTCGTCGTTTCCACAAATAGTTGATATGTGCAGATATCACTAACCATGATTTAAACTATAAAACCAGAGCAACGATTAGAATTCGAATGACCAGCGCTGTGCGTTCGTGAGCAATGGCTGTATGACTAGTAGTACGCTTACTCTAGAACGATTTACTCACGATGATAGAATAGAATAATTTTTAATTAAAATCTATATTAACCATATTATAATTCTTATTGAGTAATTTCTTTTACTTTACCACTGCTGGTTCAAAAAAAAAAAACTCTGTCCTGGCAAGAACCAGCAAGAAACTCAGTGAGACTTTAAAAAAAAAGTAAATTGGGTATACAAATGAAAGGTTGTACAAACTACAAAATAAACATTGTCACTTTTTTTACTAAAACTATTTATGTTTTTGTGAACATACATTAATTTTTCGTTAATATACTGAGAGGCCAAAGTTAATATATTTATTTCCTAAAATTTTGAATGTGGGAATCTCGGTTTTAGGTTGTAATTAGCTATTAGGACGCTCTTCTGTAAAACAAAAATAGTTTCTATATTAGCCGCATTTCCCCATAGCAATATCCCTTATGACATTATGCTATGGAAATAACTTAAATAAAATAATCTAGCTGTCTCGACACTAGTGAGACCTATAGATATATTTTCATTTTCAGAATAGTTAAATAGATAGATTCTCAGAATGCCCTGCTCAGAACTCCTTTTCTTGTATCATTATATAGTTATATGTATTACATAAATAACAAAAGTTACATATGAATTTTAAATATTTAATGAAAGGGAAAGCCCCCATCCACGTCGTAGTCGCAACACAACAATATCCCAAGAAATTTATTAGAAAGTTATACAATTGAAGTTTTTATTTAGATTTTGATTCGAAATTACAGTGTATTTATAATGTTACAGTATTATGTATTAAAAACCATGTAAACATTTGCTAAGTAAAAGTGCAAGTACAAGTTAGTTTGTCGTAGGTACTCTCATTGGTACTAGCGCTAGTGCGTATGCTTCTCTCTATCTCTTTCCACTCAATGCTGCTCTTATGCTCGCTCTTGGATATTACAAGACAAATACAGACACATTTTATTCTCCTAAACTACTATAATTAGCCCAAATCTGACATAACGCTTATGCTATAAGATAAGTGTATTCGTACCCTTACTTCTGCATCCAAACCTATTTACTATACAATATACATCTAAGAGTCTAAACCTGAAAATCAACAATTTGAGGTTGTAATACATGTTAGCACCCGCGTTGTAGTTTTGCTTTAAGCTATAATATTAATATATGTCTCAATTTATAATAAATAATAATATTTCTAAAATGGAAGTTGTAGGATTCTCCAAAAATCCTTTGTAATTTTTAGTAGTGCCCATGCTATTTAAGAAAATTTCATCGCTATATTTTATGACCGATAGGACCGTCTTCGACTTCTCAGTAGAAATACACTACAAAATGTTACTAGATAATAAGGTCCCTTTTCTGTCTATGACGAGATACCCGACGAGCCTTTGAACAACTCTTATTTATTTATATCGCCACAGAGAGCAGCTGTGCGGCGACTACTCTCGAGCTCGTATTTACTGTAGATTAGATAAAAAAATTACCCCATTTCATCTCGTGGGTATCTTAAGGCTTTAACTAGCCTGAATGACCTTGACGAAACGGCGATCGCAGAGATTTTAGCCGATGTCAACACCGTCTAGCAACTACGTTCTGTATTACTTATAAAAGTGCAAAGATTAATAGACTGCAGAGATGACAATTATATAAGTGACATACTGCCTGTTATGCTTACGCATCACTGAGAATTATGTCGCGGTTACGCATCTTCAATTACATTGTGCTGTAGCTTTGTCCGGTAGGCGTCACGAGCTATCAAGTGTTCAACTTTCAAGTACGTAAGAGTTTTTTATTATATATGTTAAATCGTATTTATTTGTATCGTATTAATAGATCTGGGTCAAAGCGTTCGCTGTAAATTTTCCCGGGTTTGATCCCCGACAGCACGAATGAAATTTGTAATTGCAATTTTCGTCAACACGCGATGGGGAAGCACGGCGGACATTTCCTTGCCCTAAAACCCTCTCAGAAATAAAAAAAGAGTCCTGTGCCCAGTAGAGGGACTTGTATAGCCTATTACTTTACTTTGTAGCAATATTTATATTCGTTTCAGATATAGAAGGGTACCTTATGTTGACAAAAATATCATGTGGAGGCGACGAAAACGTAAAACATCTTTGTACCTATTATCTATAACGTTCGAAAGATTGTCAGTCATGTCATACGCCACATTTTCTATAGAGCGTAGAACATTGCAGATAGGGCAAAATAAAAAATAATCCAAAATATTATGGGAACTATTTTTTAATAATATATACATTTATAGGTATTTATAATAAAAATAATGAACAAGCTACAAGGTTCAACTAATAATGTTTTTTGTAAACACAATCGTAAAATCCATGTTTTAATTTTTACCAATGGTTAATTGATGAAACGTAGTCAAGATCACTTCATATAAAATATATTTAATTAAAATTGATACGTGACCTATTTGGCCTTCTACTTACAACTCGGCGGAAATTTGAAAAGAAGATTTTGTCTTTTCACACAAGTATTGTTTACAACTGGCGTGGTTTCGAAAAGCGTGATTAAGTGTCAGCGGTATATAATCAATTAAATACTGAACTTTTTTGAAATTTATTTTTTTGTTTATTTTTGCTATATCTTCTTAAAAACTGACACCATCTCACTATTTAATTATTTTTTGTAACGCATAAGGATAAGTTAGACTAAGTTAGATTAACTTGGATAAGTTTATATTTTTTTTAATTTTATCATAAAATTCCCGCCATAAATTATTACCTTTTCTACAGTGATTCTCTCCTCTTAGTTTCGGCGTGACTGTAGGATGTTATAGTGAGTCACCGTCAGTTACTAAGCGGCCATAAATCTTTATATGTATGTACATATATACATTTTTTGATTTTAATATTTATGTTTTTTTTAATTTTGATTGATTTTTTGAAACCTGGTGAAATTATTTTTTTCCATACCAATTGATGGGCCTGAGTATAATGCCAGTTATGCTCTTTGGCTGAAGTTATTTTTTATTTTATGGTCAATTGCAGACAAAACAATATTGATTGCGCATTTCTAAAACAAAATTTTACCTCTTCTCCATTTAATAATAGCTCCTGCACCTAACACGGCGGAATAGTTATTATTATCTATAAGACCATTTGCGGAAACAGTTTTTGTTAACAGTTATGAGTGTAACATTTTATCAGCTGCTTTGTTTATAGTGCCTTGAGCAAGACTTTGCCGGTTTCTGTACAGAAAATGATGCTGGCTTTGCAAATATGGATGGCCGCTACCATTGAATATAATACCCGCTATAATACACTTATTTACATAGAAACTTTAATTATCATTTGCATAAAATTCTAAATAGCACTTTTTGCACAAGAAAGTAAACTTTTAGATCTTGTTTTTCACTAATTAAGTAAAAAGTAAAACAAACCAATAGGGCCGTGATTTAAAATTTCTTGCAACTTTTTATAGAAAAGCATGACCTTATCATAATATAAAAGTCAATCTTTTAGCCATGTGATAAAACTTTTAAGTGTGCCAGTCAAACATTAATGATGATATTTGGGTCGGAAATAGTCTTTTAAATATTATGTAGTACAATTGATAATCTTCAGTATGATTGACCGTGTATATGACTTTTATAAGTCTATGTTATTTTTGATGTAAATTATTATTGCAGATAAAAGCCCTTTCACATTTATTTTCGTCTCGAATTAAATTAATCAAAATGA